GTGTAAGTCTTCAATGTCCTGTCCATGGTCTTAGCACTCCTAGCCCTTCCTTCAGTTTCTGACTACAATTACGCTCACGACCACTTACAATCTTGCAGTGACTATTCTCTTTGGAACATTCAATAGAACGACAGCCACCGCCGCAGAAGTGAAGTTGTCCCACAGTCTGCAGACTGCATTCGCAAACTTCGTCAAAGACCCTGGGAATGCATCTCCAGTCCCCAGATGGCCCCGGTATGAACCCGACCTGTCCGGGAACGGCACAGCCTCCACACTTACGAAAACCGCGTACCATGGAAATGTGGGCTTGAATAGTTTCGTTGAGCCTGTTGAACCCCGTTCCATGGTGAGCATAAAAACATTGACACAAAGAATATTCATTCAGGGCTGAGTACTGAGTGGAAAACAGGATGGATCGTGTCCGAAATGGGACCCATTCCTGGATTCCCGCCCTTAGAAGTTGAATAAGAGGACATCTGTCTAAATTTGCCTTATTTTCAGTGCACATCAACCATTACATAACGCGACCACTGGCATGACCCCCAACCACCAATTGAACATCAACTAGACAACACTCTCAGGGCATGTGCTCGAGAAAGCCACCATGGGACTTTCCATTGAAAAGTGACTAGCGATTTGATCCATACTCGTCACCACAGTAGCTAGAACCGTCTCAGAGTTCTCTTCTCGAATTGTTATGCGCTCTTCCTCCGTTACACGTGCAACAAGTAGGTCCACATTTGGCTCTTCGCCGACTGAATCAGTCCCCCTGTGGGGTGATCAGAGTAGGATTCAATTGTCCTGCTGCGGTATTATTGCCATCTGCCCACCGTGCCCGCTCTGTTTTGACGTATTCGCCGATCCGCATACGTCTGCCAGGAGCTTATAAAACAGGACACACACCCTATATCCTCCGTCCCACAGGAGCTATGCGGTGCATAGTTGTTCTTTTTTTCGTTTTTGTCCAGGTGTTGTCTGGGAGCATCGTGACCAATACTACCTCCGGTAGACTACTAGGAACCCAAGCTGATGGAGGTACGTGCTGCCTCTAACTCTTATCCTTCCTTCCACTTTATTAACGCGCTGGACTAGTGGCTTCCTTCAAAGGCATAGTAAGACACAAAGAATGATGTTATTGGAGTGACATGACAGAGATGATGGTATTGGTTAGCGCTTTGCACACCCACCAGTTGGAGATCTACGCTGGGAACCCCCTGTTACATTTGTCTCCTCTGGCATCCAGAATGCGACTTCGCTTGGACCGTCATGCATTCAACAGATTCCTTCTGAGATACGAGTTCTCTTGGTGGGTGTCTACAATGCATCTGTATCATCCGAAAACGAGGACTGCCTGTTCCTGTAAGTGACCCCACGAAGCGCTCTCGAATGGTCTCTGAAGGCCTTTCATAGAAACGTTTGGGCTCCTGCACCCATCTCGGGTCCTTTGAAACCCGTTATCGTCTGGTTGTATGGCGGGTGAGCATGCCATGATGGTTCTTCCTTTCAGACTGAACATCTTGAACCCTGTTGTGTAGGGCGTTTGTAGCCGGCACAGCTTCGTTTCCAACGTACGATGGCACATCCTTCGCGAAAAACCAAGACATCGTCTTTGTCTCGTTTAATTATCGCACGAACGTGTTTGGGTTCCCGACTGCATCAGACCTTCCTGCCTCAGGCAACAACCTCGGCTTCCTTGATCAGGAACTCGCGCTCGCGTGGGTGCAAGATAACATCGCCCAGTTCGGAGGAGACAAAACTAAGGTAACGCTCATGGTACGTGCGGTCTCACGAGTCGCGTATGTCCACACCCGAGTCTGAATTCTCCACTGGCAGGGTCATTCTGCCGGGTCTGTGTCCATCTCGCTCGCTATCACCCGCCGCGAACCTTCCGTTGCCCCACCATTCCGTGCAGGCATTATGTTGTCCGGTCTGCAAGTGTCTACTTTCCCCAAACTTAACTTTTCGAATTTCGATGCGTTCGCGACCGCGGTGGGATGTAAAGTACCTTCGGGCCCGTTGCGGCTGCAGTGCCTGCGTAATGTCCCCGCTTCCACCATACACGCCTATACGAACAACCCCAACACCAGCTTGTTTACTCCAGGGGTCGACAAGTAAGGATTATTTTCTGCTCATGAGGCGATACTCATATTTTTGGCAGTGTAACAACCTTCGATGACCCGCTGCAGCGCATCCGCACAGGCCAGATTGCCCAAGTACCCATCCTCCTAGGGACCGTGGAGGATGATGGCACGTTATTTGTGTTGAATACACCTAACAATCTTTCGGCATTCATCACAGAGCGATTCGGCCAATTTGCCGATCTCTTGTCGCCTGCTCTCGTCCGAGCGTTGTATCCTGGATTGAGCGACCCTCAAGTGATCGCTGCCGTGGAGCGCGATATTGTGTTCCGTTGGTGCGTTCTTGATTTCCTCTGAGCTAAAGATAAGTACAAAGGAGAAAACGAAGTCCAGCGAAACTGTGGAGCGAAGCGTTCGTTTCTAGCGGCATTAGTAGCGTGTATCGGTACACATACGGTATACCTGCGGCCGCTCTTTCCGCATTTAAACCCCAGACGCCAATCTACCTATTTACCTAGGTGCAGTATTCGCTGATTTGCAGCTCTTTCCAAATGCGGGGGCGTGGCACGGCGCGGAATGTAAGTCGTCTGGGTACCATACATGATATTAGAACTTCTGCTTCATCACGAGCAGTTCTGACTACTGACTATGACCACGAAACTTACATTTTCATAGTGCCCATTCTTTTCGGGACATTCAACAGACCGACAGCCACTGCCGCAGAAGCCAAGTTATCGCAGAGCCTCCAGGCTGCATTTGCAAACTTCGCCAAGAATCCCGTGAATGCATCACCGGCGCCCAACTGGCCCCCATACGGACGCGACTTCTTGGGGGTTGCTCCTGTTCCCGCACTTGCGAGAATCGCATATCAGGGGAATGTAGGCTTTGATGACTTCGTCCAACCTGTTCAACCCATTTCTGTGGTGAGTATGCAAAACGTTCCCGCGAAACTCGATTCATTGTTGAGCGCCGCATTCACGAACAGGATGGACCGTGCATTGTATGGGACGCTTTTCTGGATTTCCGCCCTGAGAAAGTTCCCGATCTCTTCCAGGAATTATTCGTGTAGAGGGGGTGTAGTGGATGCTCAAGTTGGTATACAAGAGATTAAACATGTTTCTTTCTTGGACCTTCAGGGTCAGAATAAGAGTAATCATATTAAGATGTCAGGCCTGTCAGGTTTCCATGTCAGGTTTACAAGGCGGGCCCTCACCGTTCTTCTGGAACCGGGGGGTTAAAGAAAGAGAAATAAAACATTCATCTCCGTAAATCGCGATTGCCTTGACTCGGCCCTTGTTGATACGACAACTTTATTCCAAAAACGAGCCTGTGTCCCAGAATTTATCAGAATAATCATACAACGACGTAACTTCCCCTACTCCTATCAATCACACGAGCTGAATACGAGCATGCATCATTCTAAGGAACACTACACTTTTCAATTCCATCTCACGCAGACGTCTTCGGGCCAACGTTAGTCTTCAAGGGGACAACTGACGTGTCAAAGGGCTTGAGAATGGCATCTGAGAGACCCTGGTCCACCGTAGTGAATGTGAAGACTGCGATGGGCGCATCAAGTCGAAAGGTCTGATAAGGCTGATGTGCTCTGATCTCCATTGACTCAACGGTACGCAGACATTTTAAATGAGGTGCTTGCGATCCATATCCCTCGAGACCGTGGTGTACAGCCTGCGAGGCTGTTCGAAGTCAAATACGAAAGGAAAAAGAAAATCGGAAATTGGGTTCAGAACCAAAATGGCCCTGTTATCCACGATGGATCAATCCAAGGTGCTCACGATCGCTACTAATCTCGTACGGATGGGCATGAGCCGGCCAACCCAAACTTCGTGCTTGTGCTCCGTGTTTACATAGGGCTTGCCGCAGTAGGTCAGTGGCGAGATGGTGCTCTCAGGCTGGTAGTTACTAGGGCGTGCGCCTTGCCAGTGAGTGCTGACAAACGTCGCTAACCCGTCGCATTGGACGTTCGCAACGGGCATGATGGGAAAGTTGACTTGGAGTTGCTAATAGTTGACACTGAGGCGGTGATGGTGAGCGGCCCTGTAGGATCGGGTCTGTGCTCGGCTCAATGATGCCAGGCAGGAGCAGTGTCATGTGTCTGTTCTCGCTCCGAACCAGCTTGGAATCACTTTGAACCCACCATCCGCGCGAAGGCGCGGCGAAGGTCACGGTGGGCCTGAACATCAACTCGCTCCCCGTCGTCACGTACAAACTTGTAGGGATGACCGGAGTAACTGCACGTTGTGATAACCATTTGGGGAGTCCCGATCAATGAAGAGTATCAAGGTTGATGGATACTCTCAGGGTTCTGAGAAAAATAATCCTGAACAAATACAAAATGAGCGAGATAAGCGGTACATGTCGTGGGCTACAAGATACGAGACAAGGCCGAATGACGCTCAATCGGTGACTCCCTCAAAACATGTTGGCATCCCTCAGATGCTGAAGGTCGTACTTTAGGGCGTGGATAAAGTAACTTGGCGGGATCGCGCAAGAAGACGGGCGTATTATTATCGACTCAGTGGAGATTACTGTACCCTCGTCCGTACGAATCTTGATGGCAAACCCACGAGGACCACATGCAGTGTCCGTCCTGGATTCGCCAGCGACAGTGGAAAGACGGACGATGGTGCGGGTTCTGTTGCTATTTTGAAGAGAGAGGCAGAAGTGAGATCGATGGTGTCGTGGGGTCACTTCGAAGTGGCATGCGTGCCTGCACCCTTAGCATCGACCTGAGAAAATCGACATCCATCCATGAGTGAGCTCATGTAGGTGCACCTGCGAACATCCACACTCAATCGCTATATGAGGATTCCCACGACTGCCCGCCCTTAATGTGTAGTACCACTGGAACGCAAACCAACTTTCTCCCGTCTCCCGTCACACAAAACACGAAAAACGATACTCCCTGGCGGGGAGTCGAACCCCGCTCTCGCGCGATTAGCTAGGATGACAGGCGCGTGTACTAATCCGATATACTACCAGGGATTATTTTGACATCAGAAAATTAGTGTTACAATCATCCCACGACGCACGTGACTCGGGATTGATTTGTCAATCCGTGCAGTTGTCTTTCTTGTGGTACGAAAATATTTGAGAACACCACAGATGTGTCAAGTTATTCCTATAACCCGAGGACGAGATAAGTCGTCTCATATGTTAAGCCTGACATTTCCACTCTCAAGGCACAGTATTATGATGTCCAAGTGAAGGGACTCGTAGGTCCATGTTCTAGAACTGGCTTCCCTTGTTAGTCTTATCCTTTGATACCATCTCTTTGTCCCGAGAGCGCGTACTCGACGGCTATCCCAAATATTCAATGGAACAACATCCGCATCAACATGGACAAGTGCACGAGCGCGCCTGTTCTGTGCTCCCTCAACACCCCAAGCGCCGACGCCTATGTCTTCTGTCCTGAGCTCGGGTGTGACAGCGTCGATATGTCATTCTAAAAGGATCACTCTTGAGCTGTATGCTTTATATTGCCCTCACCAACTAGACGGCTATACGGGCGGCCAAAATGCCATCTACCGTAGTCATTTTTCCACGTTAGGCTTGAAAACACTGCGAGCTGAGACCACCTGCACCTGCAGACGCTCATTTATGGATCGTGAAATGGCAGACAAAAGGAGACGTGCCGGTGATGGTGCGTCTCGACTGTAATGCTCGTAGGTAAACACTAATTGAGCATGTAGTTGGAGGGCTGATCATGGGCGGAGCTGTGCTGAAGGATTCATCCCATATGACAGAAAGGCGGAACTTCAGCTGACAAGCGCCTTGTGCCAGTGCACCCTACTGTTTCTCCTTTCCCACTTACCCTAGCTGTTCTTTTGCCTGACTATCCCGCGTATCTGCTGTCATAGATGTTGCGTTCAAGCACGCCAGAGGATCATAGAGGATGTCACGAGAACATAGAGCTTTACAGATATAATGACGAAGCAAAGATGACAGAGTTTGGTCGCTCGAGCATCTCTGATGTTTTTTCAAATTTTTGTTGCAATTCAATGTTGCCAATGACCTTTGCAGCTTGAACCATCTGTCGAATGAGCTCTTGCAACCGTCGGAATACACGAATAAGGCTGCCCTCGAACTGGTCCGTGAGCTGCAAAGAACGCGCTAGAGTCAACAAACGTGGAACCGGCACACTTAACACTGAGAGCTCTTGCCTTGCAGATATCAGAAAATGATGCTCCCCGGCACCATTGCACCACGGCGTCCATGAGCTCGACTTTGAACAACTGAACGTATTCTTCTTCTATGATTGGCAATTTGGACTCTTTGCAGACCTTGGCGATGCGTCGTGCGATCTCCTGCATAACACGTAGAGGTGCTGCGAGTTCCTCCTTCAGCCTCGTTTGTTGTTCACTCTAGGCCATAGTAAGTATTTTGACCTCGGTTCTAATATCGCATTGAGGTGCACATACCTTTTCTGTGAAGACGAAGCAGCTGAGTAACCCCGCACAGTGCTCCGGAGCCAGTGGGTTGAATACGCCGTTGAAGATGAGCTCGGTGAGAAGCAATTCGTCACCTGTACTGATCTCACATGCGACACGGCCCTTCACGTCCACGATATCATCCGCAGTTGTGAAACCCAGTCTACGAAGCACTCGTTTACGAGACTGGAGTTCTTCCATCTGCAAAACATCGTGCGTTGCCTGAATGCGTATCTTCAACAAACGCACGTGGTCTTGCGCAGCGTGCTTTCGCGCGTACAAGTCGTACAGTTCTGGTAAGCGTGGATCCTTGTGTAAAGGACTCGTGAACATCTTCTGTTCCATAGTTTGGATTTTCTAATTGGAGTATTATTTCCATGGAGAAAATAGAAATGTAAACGTGATTTCACCTTAACCAGCACCTTAAACTTTTCATCCTTGATACCCATGTTCTCGATTGGATCGAGGAACGGGATACCATTAGGTGATCGGCGTTGAACCTCTAGGACGCTCTTCCAGACCGTCTCGCGCGGGCCACTAGGTCGCAAGTCTTTAGGCAAGAATATACGTAGGTGGCTTATCCCGTTGAGAGTCGAAAGCAGCACGGGCATGACCAGAGGCTCTCCTTTCTGCCCCGATGGACAAGGCAGCACACCACTTGGAGTGGCATAAATGGCGGAGCGATCTTTCGGCACAGTAGAATTTTGTGCACAGTTTAGAAGGACGTCTACTAGATACTGCTCGCGAGGCGGAATGTCGTCCTTGGGAACCGGTTGATTCTACGAGAAAAACCAAGGTTGAGTTTCTCGTGCGCGGAACGGAGGACTGACGGACGTACCTTCGGTGGGAGTCGTTTCTGATAATTAATGACAACGCCCCAGCCAAAATCGAGATCCATATGTTTGACCTTGACAAGTCGACCAGGTTGCAAGAATGGCAAACTATAGCTTGGGTGGTGAATAACATCGCGGAAATCGGCAGACATTTGATCTAGCTGTTGCCGGTATTCATAATATTCAGCAACAAGCTCCTCATCTGGAACTGCAATTGAGTTTTTTGCATCTTCCTCACGCTTGAGCTCTGAGCAACGCATGAGAAAAGTTCCATATCAGTGAGGATGACTTTCACACCTTCCTCGAGAACAGGCACGCCGGCGCTGCTCTGGAATTGCATGAAACACCGTTCGAGCATGTACTCTGGGCTGATAACTTCGATCTTCATCAAGTTGAGGATCATGTTGTAACCCAGGTGAAATGCCGAGTCTAAGCGGTCGGCCTCACCCTTGATCATCGTCTTTGCGGTGGCAGGCTCGAGCTTCTCGTCACACATCATGATCACCACGCCTCGATCGTCCAGCCCACGCCGGCCGGCGCGACCTGACATCTGTATGTATTCACCCGACGACAAGTCACGAAACTCGTGCCCATCGAACTTGCGGGCAGCAGTGAAGACGACAGTCTTGGCCGGCATGTTGAGGCCGATGGAGAACGTCTCGGTCGCAAAAAGGACTTTGATTACACCTTCTTGGAACAAGATCTCGATAACCTCCTTCAGAATCGGGAGGAGGCCCCCGTGGTGGATGCCGACACCTCGGCGGAGTAGTGGAAGTATATTTTCTATCTGGGGGAGCGTCCTGTCGGCCGGTGCGAGTCCTGCGATGGCATTCGTGAATATTTTCTCAACCATGGCCTGTTCGTCTGCACTATTGAACTCAAACTTCGAGAGAGTGAGTGCGAGGCCTTCACATTCACGCTTGCTGAACGCGAAGACGATCACGGGGTTGTAGTTCTTGACCATGATCATCCGGATAATCTTGGATATATCAGAAGGTCCTTCACTAAGTCAGCCCCATATCCGCGTTTTTACAAGAAAAGGCTGACCCTTTTTGTCTCCGCCCTTCCGAGTTTTTCCTTTGCGACCTTTTCCACCCTTTGGATCGGCCGGATCCTCACCGCCCCGCTCTTGCAGCATTCCCATGGCCTTGGAGAAGTTGTCCTCGCGAAATTCCCCCTTCTCGTTGAGCACCAGATAGATACCCTCACCACCAGCAGGGAAGAGATAATGTTGCAAAGGTGTAGGCCGGAAGTCTGTATAGACAACATGGCATGGTTGTTCGTGCGAACGACAGATCCACTCGCAGAATTGCATCGCGTTGGGTATAGTGGCAGAGAGAAAGACATAGCGCACGGTATGGGGAAGGAGGATGATAGCTTCTTCCCATACGACTCCGCGTTCTTTGTCACGCATATAGTGTATCTCATCGAAGATAACCCAGGCAACTTCTCTCATGATCTCGGAGCCACGGTAGAGCATGGATCGAAGAATCTGCGAACAGACATTTAAGAAAGGTTCGAGAGCATAGAACACACTGGAAGTACCTCGGTAGTCATTACTAAACATGATGCCGACGGATTGCGCGTGACGTCGCCTGTCATTAGCCCAACGTCCCCAAATTCAGCTTCCATCTCGCGATATTTTTGGTTACTGAGAGCCTAAGGGAAGTCAGACTACTGGCATATCGGTGCGAACTTTTCCGTCGAAACGGACCTTGATTGGACTTGTGTAGATGACCCGCTGCTTATTCTGCAATGCTTGAGCAATTGCATACTCTGCGACAACGGTCTTCCCGGCGCTGGTATGTGCAGATACAAGAACACTTTCATTGCGTTGGATAGCGTGGATAGAAACTTGTTGAAAAGGATCGAGGATGAACTTGTATTCGCGTACAGGTTTTGCCGGGGGAACGTGGGAGGCGATGGGGACATAAGGATAACCTGGTGGTACAGCAACTTGGTGTCGAACCTGGAACCGGCAATCAGTTGGCAATTGAAGAAATGATCATTGTAGCCTCGCCTGATGTCGCAATTCTAGACGAGAGCCTGTCGCTTCTGTTGCGCCAGTGAGCCCTGCGCTCGCTGCAACCTCTCGCTTCGCCTCGGTCTCAAACTCGTCAACCACAACTGCCGGGGCGGCCGCCCCCAATCGTTGCCTTTTAGATGGTGGTTCATCTTCTGATGGTGGCGATGGTGGTGGAGATTTTAACCGCTTTTTCGACTCCGGTGATGTGACGGAACGCTCGTTAGATTGTGGAGAAGTGCGTGCGAGTTCGGCATGAGGAACGCTGTCGACCTGCATCACATTGGGAGCGATCTCCGAGTCGCTGTTATCGGTTTCATTATCGTTGTCGAGGAAGGAGAACAGGTCGTTCGAGGTCATGGTGAAGTGTAACCGACACCAACACCAGGGTTGAGATGGTAAAGCTGTGGAATGGTGTCTCAGTCTTGTCGCTCTCTCAACAATTTTTATTCGCCAGTACTTCGGAAGTCCCTGGTAGTATATCGGATTAGTACACGCGCCTGTCACTTCAACTGACCGCGCGAGAGCGGGGTTCGACTCCCCGCCAGGGAGATTTTTGACAAACCTGGTATCAAACAAGTTTTTGGCTAGCTCAATGACAAAAAGCAGGCCATGGGCCAACTCGGCTACACTACAGACTAAGTAGCTCATGAATCGGGCACAACAACGGCACTTGTCACGCCGGCTCTGATAAAAGAG